GTGTGTGTGTGTGTGTGTGTGTGTGTGTGTGTGTGTGTGTGTGTGTGAAGCGATGAAGGTTTAGGGTTTATTTACTGATGAGGGTTCCTCCTGCACGAGCTGGTTAGTCCTCAAGAGTGTTTGTTTATGTGAGGAGTCTTCATCGTGTGTTTGTGTGTGTGTGTGTGTGTGTGTGTGTGTGTGTGTGTGTGTGTGTGTGCGGCACATTCACAGCTTACAGATGTAGAGATTTTACAGGAGAGATGTTTTTGTGGGGTGGTGGTGCAGGGTGCAGTGCAGAGACTGGACGGATGCAGCCTCTTTCTGCTGCATGATGATGATGATGGTGGTGATGATGATGTCATTGTTGGCAGTGAGCTTCCTACAGAGTGAGGCTTCCAGGAAGTACAATCAGCAGCTCTGAAGGAGACAGGAAGCAGAGTTTTCTCCTCGTTCACGATGCGGTTTTTATTCTTGGTTTTCTTGCAGCTGTGGAGGCCGAGCAGAGGTCCAGGTCCTTTTAGAACACCCAGCTGCTTTGTTAGCATCTGATGACATCATCGCCTGTTTACCTGCCTGATGCTGTTTGATGAATAACTGCTCAGGGTGTGAACCCTCTGTGATTCTTCAGGTCGCAGTGCTTCACGTCAGGTCGAATAAAAACAATCATCTGTCAAAGAAAAGCTTCAGACACTTAAAGTTTGTTCTTGTTGCTCCGCTGTTGCTTATTAAAACTCTGAGACAAACTCAACACAAACTGTCTGTTTCCTCTTGTTCAGCAGACGGGTTCTGGTTCTGGTGCTGAAAGATTCACTGACAGGATGATTGAACCAAGATGGTTTTGAGATGAAGTGATAGGCTGGTTTCTGCACAGGTTCTACTGGAATAAAAAAAACAGTTTCTGAACATGGATTTATCGACGTGTGCTGCAGGGCACGAACTCACTTTACAGAACTTTTCTCTCTGTGGTTTTACGTAAAAAAAAAAGGAACGTTATGTTTGTCGTGTAAAAAAAAATGCCGGCTTTAATGGCAGATTTGAAACCTCGCGGCTCTGCTGGCTGTGCAGGTGTCACAGAGCGGCACCACRGCTGTCAGCCAACATTTAAATAGTTTAGTTTTTACAAAGATTTATCTCTCCACCTACATGTTCCTGAAGTAAATCACTCAGCTGGCTGGAACAGGTTTAACTGGAATYTACAGAGCAGTCAGTATCTAACCTGCACCACATTATGTCGGTACATCTTTTAAAGCTTTGGGTATTTGTTGGAGATGAGTTTTAGCTTCTGTTAGGTCCAAGTTTAGCTGTAAAATTCACTGTCACTAAGAGATGTTCATTAAACTCTGTGCAGTTGTTTATGAAATATTTTCCTGAYGGAGTTAATAGCAAGGTTTTAAAAATTTTGCACAATATTTGATGTTCGGAGTACATGTTGTGATAAAATACACCATTTTTTTCACGTTCAATCCATTAAAATCTGSAGATACTRATATTWTTCAAGCTCTTMTATGTTTTTGTGCTGTTTTTATGTYAGTTTCTAATGAAGCAGTTCTAGTTTCCAGTGATTATTTGCWGAAAGTTTCATTAAAATCACGTTKCGATGCAWGAACCTGCTGTTTCTGATCAAACTTGGAGGAAAAGAAGCTTAAAGTTCCAGTTCAGAGTGAGGGCTGCAGCTCCTCCTTCCTCTCACGTCGACCGTCCTCTGCGCTCCTGACTGATAGCGGGCCTTTATTGGCCCGTAAATCTCTCGTTACGTTAGTGGTGTGAAACGTGCGGCGATGATTAAAACCCCGCGGACACCGTGCGTTTTTTTTTTCTCTCTCTCTCTGCCAGCCGTCCTCGCAGCTGCTGGATGCATCCAGTTGGAGATCACATGAATTAATTGCACGATGAAGATGGGGTGACCCATTTTATGGAGGAGCGGTTGAACTGTGGAACATGGGGGGGAGGAAGAGCGGCGCTCCGCAGCAACACATGAGTTGTGGTCTGTTGTGTGAGGGGGTTTGAACACATCTCAACAACTTAAAGACACTTACAGGAAGTCAGAAAACCTTAGAGATGCAGTATTTATTCACTAAATTTAGACCCATTTAACCTGCTCTATTTCCTTTCCTTTCCATCATATTGTTTATATTAAATGTTTCGGCCTCATTTATTCCATCCRTCCATTATCCTCCACTTGTTCCTGGTTAAATAAAAAAGTGTTTGCATGAATACAATTGTTGATGACTGGGGACATTTTAAAACATTAGTCTTGTCCACATTTAGACTCACTATCTCATCTCATCAGTCTGGTCTGAAATAAATGTTATGTCTCCATGCTGAGGTTGTTTAGAGAGATATCTGCAACAGGTAAGACATTGATTGCTCAGAAGCTTGTGACAGTACCACACTTAGAAAGATTCAACTGTTCCTTTATGGCTAAATCGCCCTCATTGGTGGGCCAGATGGAAGTCACACACGGGCCGGATGAGGCCTGCGGGCCACCACTTGAATAGCCCTGTGAATATTTTCTGAACTTTAKGTTCCTTGAACAGGAATGTTGAGTTGATGTGAATTTTGACTAAAACCTTCAATTTAAAGATATTTTGAGAGAGTTGGAGCTGATTGATCCTTTGATGTTTTATATAAAATAATTTTATTGTGAAATAAAAAAAACACACATTATTCCTGGATTCCTTCTTCATCATCCGTTCAGGAGGAAGAGTTGATATTTGGTGCTGTTTCGCTCCATCATCTTGTTTTTTCTTCGTTTTTTTCTCCTTCGTGTCACCGCTCGACTCCAGGGAGCTTTCCTTTCCTTCCTGTGTTTTAGATTTATCCACTTAGTCTCCATTTTTTTATCCGATGGTTTGTGCAGAGGAGAAAAGGGAGGAAAATATCTGAGCTTGAACCAACGTGGAGACGAGAGGGTGAGGCAGCGAGGGTGTGGTTCATGTGAAGATGCTGGAGGAAGAGGCGGGGGCGTGGGGGGAGAAAGGTGAAAGGGGTGTGGCTGTGATGGAGGGAGAGACAATGAAAGGATGGAGAGAAAGGTGAAGCTGAACGACGAGCGGACTGGGAGGGAAAGGAAAGGGAGTTGGAGGTGGGTGGATCGAGTGGAAAACATGGAGTCAGCTGATGGCTCCCAGTTTCCATGACAACGCGAGGCCTTTCCCACCCACTCTGTCTTTTTCTCTCGTTTCTTTCTCTCCCTCCGCCTCACTCACTTCTTTCACACTTGATTTTCTTTTCAGGATTTTGTTTCAGTTTTTTTTTTGACCGTCTCACTATAATCATGTTACAGCTTTCTATTTTCCCTCTGATCTCCTCTTTTTGTCCTTTTTTCTTTCTACACTTCCTGAGCTCTGCTTCCTGCCCTGCAAGAGCTTCTGAAATTTTACTTTATCTTTGGTATTTACATAGAGATGTGCTTCCTTTCCTTTCCTTTCCTTTCCTTTCCTTTCCTTTCCTTTCCTTCCCTTTCCTTTCCTTTCCTTCCCTTTCCTTTCCTTTCCTTTCCTTTCCTTTCCTTTCCTTTCCTTTCCCTTAATCTCTCCTCTCCTCTCATGGTTTATTTTCCTGTATAAATGTGTTTTTTGACGTACATTTGTTTATTTTCCTGTATAAATGTGTTTTTTGGACGTACATTTGTTTATTTTCCTGTATAAATGTGTTTTTTGACGTACATTTGTTTATTTTCCTGTATAAATGTGTTTTTTGACGTACATTTGTTTATTTTCCTGTATAAATGTGTTTTTTGGACGTACATTTGTTTATTTTCCTGTATAAATGTGTTTTTTGGACGTACATTTGTTTATTTTCCTGTATAAATGTGTCTTTTTGATGTACATTTGTTTATTTTCTTTTATAAATGTGTTTATTTGATGTACGTTTGTTTATTTTCTTGTATAAATGTGTGTTTTTGACGTACATTTGTTTATTTTCCTGTATAAATGGTTATTTTTGACGTACATTTATTTATTTTCCTGTATAAATGTGTCTTTTTGACAAACATTTGTTTGTTTTCCTGTATAAATGTGTTTTTTGACGTACATTTGTTTGTTTTCCAGTATAAATGTGTTTTTTGATGTACATTTGTTTGTTTTCCAGTATAAATGTGTTTTTTGACATACATTTGTCCACCTCCATGAGCCCAGCTTCCTGCTGAACTGTCTGACTTGATAAAAGGGTGTAGCTGCGTCCCCACCCTCTCCTCCTCACCCGGCGCCAAACTGGACCCAGTCCAGATCCTGGGCTGGAGGCTCTCTGCAGCTCCCATTGCTCTCACTCTCTTCCTTTTTACCCCCCCCCCCCTCCCCAGCCAGTACCAGTCTCTCTCCATACCCATGCAGCCCCTTCTCTCTCTGTCCGTCTCACTTTCTCCTCCACCTCTCCCTCCTCCCATGCACCACACAGCAGCCATTGTTTGCTGTTCTTTGGCTCTGCATGGCAGCTGAGCCCTGGGTGGCAGGAGAGGAGATCGGAGCTCCGTTCCTCAGAGGAGGCCGAGAAAACTGGGGCTTAGTGTCAAAACGCCCGATGATGAGTGTGAAAGGTTTTCTTCTGAAAGGAGCAGATCTTTACTGCAAACATCGCCACTTTTATTGATTAAAAAAATGAAATGGCAGCATGAAATCACAAAGATGTGGCTGACTCATCTCAAAACCTTTTTCAGTCACTTTTCCTGGGCTCTGGAGCTCTAGAGCTGGATTTAAGTCATTGCCGGGGTCTCGAACCTTTCATGAGTTTGTCTCAGGCGTCTACAACCCTTTTATTTAACAAGAGCTTTCCTCTGACAGAAAACAAGTCTGTGTCTAAAACCCACGCTGAGGATAAATAAGAGTTATAAAAAACAGTTCCCAATCTGCCGATCCTCTTTTCTAACGTCCTTGAAGTCTTTTTTTTAATTCCTATTTCCTGGTGTTGTTTTCAGCAGGTAAATGTAGGTGATGACTGCTCGCAACCGACAGACCTGAAGGTGAAGTCAGACATCAAGACAGAGGCCAGTTCGCCTCACGCCAGCCCTGCTGAGGACCAGACCGAGCCTGTGGACCTGTCGCTCAACAARCCTCGTTCCACTTCCACAACAAGCACCACAGTCAACCCTGCACCCAGCAGTTCTGTGTCCCAGCCCAGCCTGTCCGCCACCCCGGTCCCATCCTCCGTACAATCAATAGGCTCCATGGTGACAACAAACTCCCACTATAAGAAGACATTAGAGCGCTGCAGACAGCAGGGCTGTGGCAGACAGATAAACTCATCGTTTTCCTTTCCCCCCCTCCAGGTTTTGTCTCCAGGCTCAATCTTAGCCACGCAGGGGGCCGGGGGCCAGCAGATCCTCCACGTTATCCACACAATCCCCTCGGTCAGCATGCCGAGCAAGGTGGGCGAGCTGCAGACCATCCCTGTGGTGGTTCAGTCGCTGCCTGTAGTCTACACCACCATGCCGACCGACGGCGTCGCCACCGCAGCCATCACGGTGCCGCTCATCGGCAGCGACGGGCGCTCAGAAGGATCTGGTGAGTTGTCTGACCCTGTAGGGTCTCTCCAATGCTAACGCCAGCTTATCCATGCTAGTCGCTAGCCTCTCCAATGCTAAAGCCAGCTTGTCCATGCTAGTCGCTAGCCTCTCCAATGCTAAAACCAGCTTATCCATGCTAGTCGCTAGCCTCTCCAATGCTAAAACCAGCTTATCCATGCTAATGGACAGCAGAAGGAGTTGGCAGTCCAGTGGGTCACTAGCCAAGGCTTGCAAGTCGTTAGCCTCTCCGATGGTATTGCAAGTGAATAGTCTCCTTATTTGCCAACACTGGCCTCTCAGTTAGCCGTGCCAAATCAATAGCTGGTTAGGAATAGATATAGCCTCCTGYYACAAGGATGTAGCAAGCGCTGGTTGYGCAAAAGTCTTAATTTTGGCCCTCATACCATAGTCCTGTGCTGATTGGTGAAAAATAGGTGATTGTAAGTGAAGCATCACAGGAAGTCATTGTTTAAAGCTAAGAAAAGCATCACCCTGTCGTTCATGCAGAGGGTTTGGTCTCTGAGGATTACAGCATCTCTTTTTGTGTTTGTGGTTTGGTAAACTCTCATTCTGTCTGTCTTTGTCTTTCTGGAAGCTCTCCATATGCGCCAGATGATTTATCACTCCAGTTAAATTGGGAAGACGCGTTGGATCATTTTTCGAAATCTGTTCCAGCTTGAAATTCTCCTGATGTTGTTGGAAGATGTGTCTTTCTAYGTGGTTTAGATGATTTCTGGATTCAATCCTGATTCTGGCTAGGCTGCAGAGAAAAGGAGGTTGACAGAAGTCTCTGGGTAACTCAGCGGGATGAGAGTGTTTCTCTGAGGAGGGCTGGCCTGACCGGCCTCCACCCCTCTGACAAACAGTGGTAAAAGTCCCTCGGCGAAGTCGGTTCTGTTCACCTTGGTTTCTAATTTAAACCAGCACGGCCCTGACTCAGGAATGTAAACGATGGAGGCAGTCGCTGTGGAAAACATCCAAAGGAGAGTCTGCAGAGCACGAAGTGGACTGGAGATGCTCTCAGACTGTTTGTCCCGAACAATCTGCCATGTTCAGAACATGCCAGAAGCTGCGACGTTGTAATGCATCATCATGGTTTTTTTTCATCCCCGTCTCAAACTGCCTCGTCCACGTCTCCTGCCGGGGCTTCCTGAGGTGTCAGGTCAGGACTTGGACCAGACTGGGCTCAGTTTGATAAATGTGGGGCTCCTCTCTGCTGCATATCTGTTGTTTTATGTGCATTACATCATGCTTAAATGTCCTGTTTGTCACAGTTCAGGGTCATGAGGCCTGAAGTCACTTCAGGTTGTTGAGCTGAAAGAAAAGGCTGAATGTGGAGAGATAAAAACACTTTTTTATAAATATGTTCATTTTTAGACAAATAAGCATTCAGTGATTGTTTTATAGGAAATATCTCAACCTGCCTGTTTAAACAACTTGTTTTATCTAGAGCTAGATTTCTTCTTATTTACAGTATATTTTCTACTTAAATCATGTGAAACTTTCCAATATAAAGTTTAAGGAGTAGTATGGTTAAAACATTTATGAGATGAACGATGGGAAAATGTCTCATTGCTACAGCTGAGCCCAGCTAACAAACAATACCTGAGCTCTACCTGGTGTTTCCTGCACAGAAACAGCAGTTTAACATGTTCACTCATAAACACTGTTGGTATAACTGAGTAAATATGAAGTAAATAATACAGAAATACTATTAAAAGTAAAAGACAGAGAGTTTTACTCGAGGTAAGTCGTGAATTCTGAACTCTCCCACTGGGAGACTGGGAATTCCTGTGTGTAATCAACATGCATTATGGGAAATGTAGTTTGAGTTGGAAGGATGAGGAGAGTGTGTGATGGAGGGGTGCCTTTTCTCCCTGAAAGATGCAGCAGCGGTGAAGTGTTGGGTAGTGGTGGTGGTAGTGGTGGTGGTAGTGGTGGTGGGGGTGGGGGTCTTGATTGTCTCGAGAGACAAAAAGCAAGGCTTCTCTTGGTGTGTGACCCTCCCCACGTTTACATTTACTCCACCCAAATTCCTCACATCACCCTTCCAACCACCCCGCCCCTCCCAGCTCTCCTCTGGACTCTGAACAGTTCTGCTTCACATTCCTGCAGCGAGCAGCAGAGGGGCTTCGGGTTGCCACTTCTGTCTCGTTCGTTACATTTTCCCATCAAATAATTTATGACCTCATATTTCGGCCTGGTTTGCTCTTTCATTTATAGCTGTGACACTGCTGTGTCTGATGACGGCACATGTGCTGAAATTATGGTTCATTAATAAACACGACTGAGGATAACATCCYGAAGTGATGCTGAGATGAATTATTGGCTTTCAGTTTTTTTTAAATAGATAAAGTAATTCTCCCTAAAACTTGAGAATAAGACGAAAAACCTCATCTTGTTCATCATCTGTTCATTTAAAGTGCCTGTGACATCATTTTTTGTAATAAATATGAATGCATTTTTGGAAAGAGAACATTGATAAAATATTGCAAAACAAATTTCATGCTGCTGAGGTGAACAGTTGTTGAGATATTTACATGTGAAGAAACAGGAAGTGATGTCAGAGGGGAATGTCTGCAAGTAAACAGAGTGTTTTAAAACAGCTAACAACAAGGACTGTGAAGAAGAATCTGATGTTTCTTTAGAGTGTTTTGAGTTTCTATGAAAGAGAAATGAAGAAGAGTAAAAGTTTAAATAATAATGTTTTAATAAACAAAGACCAGAGAGTTTATTTTATTAGAGTTCCCCTTTGATGTCACTTCCTGTTTCACTTCGGCTGAGCCAAATCCAAAAGAAAATAGGCCAGTTATGAGACAAAATGTATAAAATCTTGTGTATTATGTTAATTTTCTTAAGAATAAAGATGTTTTCTTTGACTTTTTGATTTTGAAGGATAGGCATGTCACAGGACCTTTAAAGTCTCAGAGCAACATGATGTCACATTCAGCCAATCAGCTGAAAGTTTCAGCTCCATTCTGCTGGAGTCTGCGTCTTTATCTCTGGATTCATCTCTTCGGGAGGATTCTCCTATTGAAGACGAGCAGGCCGCCCTCCTTCCTCACATCAACCGAGGCCAATGTGAATTTCATCTTTTCCAAAAGTGGAGAAATTAAACACCATCCCGCCGTTCCTCCGGGCGATCCGATCAGAGCTCTAAAACAAACAGCCTCCTTCCTTCATTAGTATTTGTGAGGATTTTTTTTTTTGAGCAACCGTCCAAACCTCCGCAGAGCTTCCTGATCGCCTCCAGGGATTTTTCTTTCACTAAATTGCTAATTAGCTTTTGTGTGTTTAGAATATTTTCCATTAACATCTGTTCATATCATGGTGCCTGCACGTTTGATACCGTAKGAAAGGAAAGGAATACAGGAAGGAGATGATAAAGGATGCATTTGGTCATCAGTTGATCCATTAATGCTGCAGCAACACACACACGTGCACACACACACACAGGAACCAGGTCTTTGTCCTGCCAAGTTGCTTAAATCTCGAGATTGTCATTCTGTAATTAACTCCCCGCTGTTCTATTCTGTGTTTTTCCTCCCACCGCTCCTTTTCACCACCTTTCACCGACTGCTCGTCTCCTTTCATCTGTTCCAAACACGGATGCTCTCTCCTCATCCTCTCCTCCTCCTCTCCTCCCCTGCAGTTCGTATTAAACCGGGCTCCACGTCTCCCGAGTATCAGAGCGACAGCGATGCAGAGAGCGGCACCGAGTCCGGGTCGGCCTCCCTCAGCGCCCAGAGCCTGGAAGCCGGGTGAGTCAACACGTCGGGCCTTTCTGCACAAGTGGATTAACTTTRGATTTAAAGCAGAGTCCAGTTCACACAACAGGACTTCTTTTTTTAATTTATGTTTTAAATTGCATCAGAAAAACTGCAGATTGAACTTTGTCAGCAGGCGAGGATAAATCAAATAAGTGTATTTATACACATCTGCACCTTATTAACTTTAGCAGGAGTTATTTTCATGTGAATACTTCAGTAAACTCTGGTTGTCAATAATATTCATGAATTAGACCTTTTATTCCTCATGAATGTGTCCGATTTTCCACTAAGATAAAATCTACGATGTCTAACAGACCAACACAAATTCCAGCACAGATTTTCATGATGTCACTGATTTAAACTTGAAACCATCACCATGTTTAAGTGCTGGACCCCATACTGGATCCAGGAAGTGGAAGCTGGAGGAGGAACTGCGTCTCCAGAGGATGATGATGTAAATCAGGTTTTATTTCATAGTTTGGATCCTCCTTGAGCTGAGCTGTTAGCAAAGCTTGTTTAAGAGCGTGCATGTGAACATATGAGTCCAGGAGGCCGTAACGTGAGGAGGGGTTTGTGTGCGGGTCACCTCCCTCGCCTGCAGCCTCCTGACTAATTACATTACTGCAGTGCAGCCATGGATGCTTATATAACCTTATATAACCCAGTGTGCAGCAGAGACGCCCTGACTGTAGAACTGAAACGTGTGGAGGGGGGGCCGGGGGGGCTCGTCCTACACGAGACCTTTTAAAGGTCGTCACATGACGTGCAGAGTCAGCGTGAGTTAGTGACCCGAGTGTTTATTAGAAAATCAGGACAGAGTGGCTGCCACACCCAGTGGGCGCGGCAGTCTTACTTCACTGTGTTTAACAGGGTGTGTGTGTGTGTGTGTGTGTGTGTGTGTGTGTGTGTGTGTGTGTGTGTGTGTGTGTGTGTGTG